TTCGGCTGGTGCGTGGCAGGCGCCTTTCGTAGCGGTTTCCCAGGTACCTGCAGCGATGTCGTCGAGGTTCGAGGACCCATACGATGGGACACCGACAGGGGACTTCGGACGGCCGCGATTGGCTCTCAGAGCGGACTCGGCCCAGACGCTAAACTAGAAGAGTGCGGGGATCAAACCAGGGGGGACTTGGCGGGACCCCGCCCTTAACCGGATTAAGATCGGCTAGCGTAGCCCAATCTCAACGTCCCTAGTGTTTTTTTTTCTGTGAATTTTCTTTTCGACGTCAGTCGTTGCACATGCTTGAGCCGCGAGGCTTGCGTCAACCAGAGTCAACCACACCTCATCATCGCGGCACTACGGCAAGGCGCGGAGTAAGACAAGCGCCATCCACCCCGTGTCGGATAGTAGCCGACCGAGCACCTGTTGGACCACTGCCTATGGAAACACGAAAAAGCAAATGTTGGAACAGCAGGTACTGTGGCTGGCACTGGGTGGAAGCCCTCACTTCCGTGAGCCAGGAACTGGAGGATGACGGGAATCACCTTGACGATGCCTGGGCCGGCTGGGGCTACCAGCCCAGAGACAGGCGTGTGGAGCATCAGGCTAAGAGTTGACGAAAGTCCAAACTGCAGACCCGGGAAAGAAACAGAAGAAGCAGCCTGACAGGGAAGAAAAAACATGCCAAAAATGAAATCGAAACCTGAAGACCTCGGGGAGGCAGCGTGTGGCCTGAAAGGCGCAACCCCGCGAGGTTACTCGCCCCAGTCTGCTTCACGGGACATTGTTTATTGTTACAGGTGATCGACCCCTTGGCACGCGGTCGCAAGCAGCACCGAGATCAAGGTGGGTTTTTGCGGGTTGGCGACCTTGACGTCCAGCCCAGCCTTCGCTGCCCGAGGCTGCGGGAAACCAGGTAGAGGCCGCGGACGGTGGCAGCCGCATGACGCTCATGCCAGGGAAGTCCCAAGGCGCACCTCGAAGGATGGCGCATATGCGTGGCCGACGATGCTGCCGCCCCATCCCTCTCTCCACCTTGCGCAAGCAGACGAAGCAAATCCTCTCCACCCATGATGCCACAGGAACAGTATGGAAGAAGGAGGAGTCAGCGAGCGAGCGAGGAAAAAGAAAAAGAAGGGGAGCCGGTGTTTCTGGAGCCAAGGGCTGACGAACGCTACTGTACCTCACGTACTCGCCCTCACGCACGCCCTCCTCGTTTCGAACCGCTACCCCCCACACCCCCCCCTTCCGCTGGGCGTCTTGTTTGGAGCGTGGCAAGCCCACGCCCCCATGCCCTGCCCAGGCTGCACAGGCCAGGATGAAGGTTCACGGCACGGCTGCGGCATGGGAGTGTGGGTAGTACCCGCTGCACGGAGATCATGTATAAGGGAATACGGGTCGCTCCCTTCTGCCAGCTTTCCTTCGACCTGGTCGGCCTTTGCACTCTTTCCTGAAGGCTGCGATCTTCATTCCTTTCCTTCGTTGGCCGGTACCTACCCCTGCTTTCTTTTCATTCTGCTGCCAGTGGCATCGCAGTCGGTCCTGTCTTCACGCCATCCTCAACGCGAGTGACCGTGATAGACTTCCAGAACTGCTAATTTTACTACCTGGGCTTCCACTTGTGGCCGCCTTCTTTTCTGTGTTTTTCTTAGTTGCTGCTACCTGTCTTCGGTGCTGCGGAGCAGGCCTCACTCGCTTTAATCGTCGACCTAGTTGGCTTGCTAGTTTTTTCCAGCTGTTTTTCCAGCATCTTCGTTTGTTTCCTGAAGCCTCATCGCCACTCCTTGAAGAGAGTAAAGATACGCACCGACACGCCCGAGCCGAGCCCTATCGACCGCTTTATATACATACACCCGCACAAAAAAAAAGAGCCACGATGTTGGTTCATCGTCTTCCGCTGGCGGTTCTCGCCCTAATTTCCACAGCCCTCGCCGCGCCGAGCCCGAACCCGCCGCCGCCGGCCCAGGCGCCCCCCGCCGAATGCAAGCCGAGCACGAGCACCATCACGCAGCACGTCACGCAGACGGTCGAGGCTAAGCCCGTCACCCACACCGTGACACACACCCAGTCCGTCACGCAGCACGTCACGCAGCACGTCACCCAGTCCGTCACCCAGCATGTCACGCAGGTCAAGACGGAGACGGTCCACGTGACCCAGACCGCCGTCAGCACCGTCGAGAAGACCAAGACGGAGGTGAAGACGGTCCATGTCACCCAGACGGCCACCAGCGTCAAGACGGAGATGAAGACTGTGCACGTCACGCAGGTTCACACCCAGACTGCTACCCACACGGTTGAGAAGCCCGTGACGCAGACCAAGGAGGTTACCAAGACCCAGACGCAGGTTCACACCCAGACTGCTACCCACACGGTCGAGAAGCCCGTGACGCAGACCAAGGAGGTTGTCAAGACGGTCCATGTCACCCAGCCCGTCACCCAGACCAAGGAGGTTGTTAAGACGGTCGAGAAGCCCGTGACCCAGACGGTACATGTCACCCACGCCGTTACCCAGACTAGGGAGGTTGTCAAGTCCGTCCCTGTCGTTTCCACGGTCCATGTCACGCAGACGCAGACTATGGAGGTCGTCAAGTCCGTGCCGGTTGTTTCGACCGTGCACGTGACCCAGACCAAGGAGGTCGTCAAGTCGGTCCCTGTCGTCTCGACTGTTCACGTCACCCAGGCCGTGACGCAAACCAAGGAGGTGGTCAAGTCGGTGCCCGTGGTCCACACCCAGGTCGTCAGCCAGGTCGTTACTACTACTGTTACTCAGTCTGCCGCTCCCGTTGTGCATACTGTTACTCAGTCTGCCGCTCCCGTTGTGCATACTGTTACCCAGTCTGCCGCGCCTGTCGTCCATACCGTCACCCAATCTGTTGCCCCCGTGGTGCACACCGTCACCCAAACCGCGGCTCCCGTCGTTCATACGGTTACCCAGTCGGCACCCCCTGTCGTCCATACCGTTACTGCGACCATCACCCAGTCGGCCGCGGCTGCCCCTGCTCCTCCTCCGGCCACCGTTACCCAGGTTCACACCCAGGTCCAAACGGTTACCCAATCCGCTGCTCCCGTTGTGCACACCGTTACCCAATCTGCGGCACCTTTTGTCCATACTGTTACGCAGTCCGCTGCGCCGGTCGTTCATACCGTCACCCAGTCCGCCGCTCCCGCCGTCCACACGGTTACGCAGTCTGCTGCCCCTGTCGTGCACACGGTCACTCAAAGCGCCGCCCCTGTCGTCCACACGGTCACTCAGAGCGCCGCCCCGGTCGTCCACACGGTCACGCAGTCCGCTGCCCCCGTTGTTCACACGGTCACGCAGTCCGCTGCTCCCGTTGTTCACACCGTTACCCAAACCGCCGCGCCAGTTGTTCACACCGTAACGCAGTCTGCCGCTCCTGTTGTGCACACCGTCACACAATCGGCAGCCCCTGTTGTTCATACCGTAACGCAGTCTGCCACCCCCGTGGTCCATACCGTTACGCAGTCCGCTGCCCCGGTCGTCCACACTGTTACGCAGTCTGCCGCCCCGGTTCTGCACACCGTCACGCAGGTCCACACCGTCTCGGCAGCGCCCGTGGCCCCTATGGTCCACACCATCACTCAGGTTCACACCGTCACCCAGTCCGTTGCTGGCCAGCCCATGGTCCATACCGTCACTCAGCACGTTACCCAGCACGTCACCCAGCACCAAACGGTGACCCTGACTGCCGCTCCTCAGACGGTGACTGCTCCCGCCGCCGCCCACCCCGCCCCTCCCCCGGCCCATCCCATGCCGGCTCCCCCTCCGGCCCACGCCGCGCCGGCTCCTCCTCCTCCAGCTCACGCTATGCCGGCTCCTCCTCCTCCAGCTCACGCCGCGCCGGCTCCTCCTCCAGCTCACGCTATGCCGGCTCCTCCTCCGGCCCATAGCATGCCGGCTGCTCCCCCTGCTCACGCCATGCCGGCTCCTCCTCCGGCCGCCGCCCACCCGGCCCTCCCCCGGCCCAAGCCATGCCAGCCCTCCCCCGGCGCACACCATGGCCCCCTCCCCGCCGGCGCACACCATGGCGCCTCCAGCTCAGCCGAGCCCTGCGATGCCTGCCGCTCCCGCGGCCGGCATGCCGCACGAGGCTCCGGCCGCCGCGGCCCCCGTGCACAGCCCTGAGCCCATGCGGCTCAGGTCGCGCATATTCCGCAGCCGGTGGTGAAAAAGGGTTTCGACAAAGATCTAATAATCTGAAATTAGCACGGCGCTGCTGCGGGGAAGAACAGCACGACACGAGAACCTCCTCTTCTTCTCTCTCTTTTTTTTTTCTCCTTCATCCCTACAATGTACATAATAATCCCCATGAGGCTTTCGGACGGACGCCTCTTGAGAAGGCAGGTTTGAGGTGTTGGGCTTTTGTTCACCGCAGTGCGAGAATGCTGGAAGATCCCGCGAAACCTCGAAGAGCTATTAAACCTTATTACTCCTATTTTCCCTGCCCCTATTTTGTCATTCTATTCTACTCCCCCATGACCACTCATGTCTTTAGGCTTGTTCTGTTTTCTTTTTTTGTTTCCATTTTCCTTTGTAATGCATCTCCAGGGGACGTAAGGGAAGAGCTCCAGGTTCTGACCGCTGGAGCTTTTTATTTGTTGCGTATAGAGGCTTGCGGACGACGTTGATACCCTCTGCCCCTCGCCGGGGACCTGCATACTAGACGAAAATCACCACCGCATCCAAGAACATCTCTGACCCAGCCCTCGACACGATGTATCTACTCACTCCCTATCCTCTACCTAATTCCGCTCGGGAGAGCGCGTGTAAATCAACAGCTGGGCACAGCGCCGGACGCCGTAGCCCTACTCCACCTCACTCCCGCGCTGCAATCCCTTGCAGCGCCAGCGTGCCATTGAAGGGTGACATGCGGCCAAGCGAGGCGAGGCGCAGGCTGACGCAGGCGTCGGAGGCTTCGAAGACCGTTTGGTTTCAGCCCAACCCCCCGCCACTTTCATGGCAAGCGGAGCTGGATCCACCGAGCGGTCCACGCCAGCCCTACAGGGACCTACGTGGTATAGCTCGGCAGGTTTCGGGCCAACTAGGGCACCACCTCTTCGACGGTTTGGCGGAAGGGAGCAGGCGTCAGCATTGAATGGCACCAATATTCAGAAATCGACGGTATAATGCAACGGATCTGAGCAACAGTACGAATCAGCTCTTTCCACGGATCACCTGCCCAACCGTGCGTTTTTCAACCTCTCGCTGATGGCTCCCCAGGTCGTCCACGGGCGGTGATGCCGGCGTAGAGGATACCCAACCGACAGGAACCGCCTGAGGCGACTATATGTGTGCGACGGCGCATAGCGGCTGCGGTACGTCGTCCCCGCGGCCACGCCTCCAGCATACACCACGGGCGGCTTCTCCTCAGCCTCGGACGTGTTCTCGTCGCCGTCCTCGGGCGCTTCTCGCGCCTGGCCGCTCACCTCCTCCTGTGCGGGGAACTCCTCGTGCGCGGCGGGGACCACCACGCTAGGCTGGTCACTGCCTTGGGCCTCGACCGGCCCGACCTCGTCCTCGGCGCTCTCTTGGGCGTTCCCGCCCACCAAGAGCAGGGAGAGCGGCTCCGAGAAGTCCTGGTCCGCCGCGGCGCCGGCGCGCTCCCTCCGCCTCTCCCTCCGCGCCTGCAGCTCCCTCCTCTTGTCCCACGCGGGTCCCTCTTCGTGGCAGGTCCCGCACTTGGCGCCGGCGTCCTTGAGCTCGCGGCAGAACCAGCACTCGTCGAGGGGGTGCCACTGACGCGGCGGGGCGCCCTGCTGCTGCTGCTGGCCTCCCCGGTAGATGAAGTGGCAGCACGCGCGGCAGCGGCGGCGCCACCACTTGCTCTGGAGCGACTCCATGTTGGGGAAGCTGCTCTCGGGCCGGGCGCGGAAGCAGACCATGCAGGCCCACGGGCCACCCCTCGGAGGCCCGCTGGTCCAGTTGGCCGCCCGCTTGGCGACGGCGACCTTGTCCGACAGCGGCGCGCCCAGCGGCCGCACCGCCCGCCTGAAGTGGCGGTTGGTGGCGGCCAGGGACATCCTGTCGCGGTAGCCGAGGTGGCCGACTATCCGGTCCTGGAGCGCCGCGGGCAGGCGGGACTCGAGCGCGGACGGGACGGTGGCGGGCCACGCCGGCGTGCAGACGGTGCGCGGGGCAAGGCTGCCCTCGGCATCGTGGGCGTCCTCCTTCAGGCAGCGCTGGGACCTGTGCTTGAAGATGCCGCACTGGTGACAGAGGTACCAGAGGTGCTTGTCTTTGCGAAGCGGCTGGGATTCGGGGTAGAGCCTTCCGGCGGCGGTGCAGTCCCAGCAGTGGCGCTTTATAGCCTTGTCAGGATGGGCGCCATGTTTGCCACGGCCTTTGGTTGCCCTGGTACCCAGGTTGTCCCAGACTGTCAGCACCTTTCTCCGCCCCATATCATTGGCTGTCCATACATCCTTGGATCGAAAAGGATACGTACTGGTTATTGCCGAAGTGGCTCCTCGGGCGAAGCTTCATGCAATAAAAGCAAACCAGCAGTCCATCGTGCTGCCGGAATTTCTCGGCCTTGAGGTAGAACTGGTGTCTCTGCTCTCTCGTCACCAGGGCATTGGACGGAGCGAGGCTATAGAAAGCGCGACAGGTTTTGGAAAAGGCCACTGCGTCCGAATACTCGAGATGGCTGAAGATGACGAACCACACGTCGAAGGCGACCCTGTCGACAGAGCGAGGCGCTGGACTGGCCGTGCCCACAGGAACTACTGGCCTGACTAGTTCAATGTCGTGTAGGTCCTTCCGGGGAACACATGCGTTCCTCTGCGCCATCTCGCCTAGCCGGTCCGACAGGATGCGCGTATAGTCAGCCATGGTACCGTGGGAGAGTTGCCGCTCCCAAAAGGTAGGCCACACTCTGTATGAGCTGCACACCAGGTCAGTCAAGATATGGGAACCATGGGAGGATTCGAAAGAGAGAAGAATCAGGAAACACGTTGGGCGGCCTACAGGATATGTACGCTCAGGTAATGCGCGTTTCAACGGGACTTTAGTTGGGCGTCGCTTCCGGACGGAGGTTATGGCTGATGGATGGCGCAAGCTTTGCTTTTTTAGGCGTCGTCCTCCAGTCGAGGGATGATGTCGGACGAGTGTGCGGAAAGGCTGGGCTCATGATACGAGACAGGAATTGTCACTGGGACTAGGATGGTTGGGGATGAACAAGATTGTTTGCAAATATGAGAAAACCGTGGTATTCAGGCCGTACTTGTACGCTTGTGTTCCCGGGGCTGAGCAATAGAGTCTGCTCGTCCGAGCTGGTAAGGCGCTAGCTAGCGCACATGCAGCTGTAGAGGCAGGCAGACTCACCCCGAAAGAGTCACATCACGACCAATCAGCATGGGCTGGGACAGCTGTTGCTGGCCTGAGTCAACTTGGCAACGAACCCAGTTATTTGGCTTTGCCCTGCATCGGAACCGTCCCGGGTAGCCGCGATGGCAGACATTATGGAATTCAGCTGCTGACTTTTGTCCGTTGGGCCATTATGACTGCTAAAGGATGGCTTCAGTGGGATCGAGTGCGAGCTCGAAAACGAAATCCCGACTCAAAGCCAGGGAGGGCCCAAACCCAGGGTCCAAACCCAAGCTGACGTCTGCCTGGCGCGGGTAACAAAACCAAATGTGGAGTGCATCGGCATGCGTCGGCTTGGTTGCGCCTGCCCCGCCAGCACGAGCGGCTTGCTTCCCGCATGCTTCCCGCATCCCGTCTTGGGGTTGGACAAACAAGATTTCGACATGTTTTCAGTTCCTCAGCGAGCAGACTCTGTGAGAAGCGAGAAGCCATCCCACAAGGCAAATACAACACATCCCCTCTCGATAGCAACACACAATGGCTGCAACTGCAACGTGGGTCCCGGGCGTGAACGAGGACAGTGACTTCTCGCTGGCCAACATCCCCTTTGGCATCATCAGCACCGAAGCGGACCCCTCACCTCATGCCGCCGTTGCCATTGGCTCCTCGGTGCTGGACCTCAAGATGCTTCAGCAGCAGCCCGACTTCGCCGATGTCTTTACAGCCCTGCGCGATGCCGGCCCCGTCTTCGCACAGCCTACCCTCAACGACTTTGCTGCATTGGGTCGCCAGGTCCACCGGGAGGTCCGCCAGGCCATCCAGGGCCTGCTCTCGGCCGACAACACCTTGTCGCCAGCCTTTTTAAGGGACGATGCCGAGCTGCAGGCGCGGGCGATCCTGCCCCAGGATGCCGTCAAGATGCATCTGCCCATGAGGATCGGCGACTACACCGACTTCTACGCAGGATACCACCACGCCTACGCCGTGGGGTGCATGTTCCGCGGCCCCGAGACGGCACTGCAGCCGAACTACACGCACCTCCCTGTCGGCTACCACGGCCGGGCCTCAAGCATAGTGGTCTCGGGCACGCCCGTCAGGAGGCCGTGGGGCCAGATACTACTGGACCCGACTACAGAGCCCAAGGTGCCGACGACAGCGCCGTGCAGGCGCCTCGACCTGGAGCTCGAGCTCGGCTGCTTCATTGGCAAGGGCAACACGATGGGGGAGTCGATCAGGATCAAGGGTGCGCCTGAGCACGTATTTGGATACGTGCTGCTGAACGACTGGAGCGCGCGCGACATCCAGGCGTGGGAGTACATACCCCTGGGCCCCTTCAACAGCAAGAACTTTGCCTCAACCATCAGCCCGTGGGTGGTGCTCGCCGACGCGCTCGAGCCCTTCAGGACCGCGCCGAGCGTCAAGACGGAGACGCCCGTGCAAGACTACATGAAGGAGGAGCACGGCCAGGGTGTTTTTGACATCAGTTTGGAGGTTGATCTGACCAGTAAGCATGTTCTTGTTCCCTTGCGGCATGCGGCAGCGTCCGGGATTAGAGGCGCTTGTGCTGACAGGGCGAAAAATAGCACCCGAGGGCGACACGACAACCATCAGCCGCACAAGCTCCAAGCACCTTATCTGGTCGTTCCCGCAGATGATTGCGCACCACACGCTCGGTGGCTGCCCGCTAAACCCAGGCGACATGCTCGGCTCTGGCACCATCAGCGGCCCTGGAGCGGGCGAGCGTGGCAGCCTGCTTGAGATGAGCGAGGGCGGCAAGAAGGACGTGGAACTATATGGCATGGACGTGCGCAAGTTCCTCAAGGATGGCGACACGGTTACGCTGCGCGGCTTCTGTGGTGCCAAGGGGCAGCGGGTTGGGTTCGGCAGCTGCACAGGGAGGATTTACAGCGCCAACCCGGGGGGTCAGTAGCGCGCTCGATGACGAAGCTGCGTGTGTCTTGGTCCATGATGGTTGAGGCGGGTTTCGGTTCAATTCTCGTCGAGGCAAGAGTCGGGTTGAAGGGTCAAAGATGAGAGCTGAGAGCCCGGCACGAGACTCTGAAAGCAAGCGCTTTGAAAGCAAGAGCTCTGGATCAAATAGGCCTGCGAGTGGCTGGCTGTAATTGAAGGCCCACCCTCCACCCACTCTGATGCCTGAATTGGGCAGATCCACGCCAGATCAGGCCACTGCCTGCCATTGAAGCCACCCTCTGATCCAATAAACTTGATGACCAGGCTTTGTTGCTTTCTGACTGAGGGCAGGATTCTGCGACACAATTCGGCTCCAGCTGCCAGGCTGCTTAAAGGTGGCTTTGTGTCACTCTGTAATGCCCACACCGGTCTCTCTCATCGCTTGGGGGCGTCCACGCCGCCTCGACCGAAGCCCTAAATGAGGAAGACAAAGCAAGGCAAGCTCCCCCAAGCACAGCACTAAACTACTTCCCCCCACACGCTGCAGTCACGTGGGCCCCAAGATGTCCAGCGTCTTGAAAGTCGCAGGAACCCGGCTGGCCGCGGCCTGCAGCTCCACAATCGGAGCCCCAAGCAGCGCTGCTCCGCCGGCCCTCAAGTCCGACTCTCCTGGCAGAGCTAAAATCCCGACGGCCGACGGCAAGCGGGATGGAGCACCTCGAGACCCAGGTGAGCGACCTGCGCTCCTTCTTGCGCCAGCCGCCCGACGACCCATTGGCCCTGACCGCCGTCTCGAGGACGGCCCCCTCGAGCAGCACCAACACCCCGCGAGGAGCCCCCGACGCCGGCCCCGCCCATCGCTCTCCCTATGCGACAGCCTCCCCGGCCTCGGCGCGCCCGCCGGCTAATGCCGCCGCCGGGAAGCGCCGGGCCGATGACGACGACGACGGGCAGAAGCAGCAGAGGAGCAAGAGGAATAGAGTACGTGTGCCCTCGCGCTAGCAGCCCCTGAAGAAGCAGAGGCCTGGACGTTCCGCTGCCTGCAGATCTGCTGACTTGCGCCCATGGTATTGCGCTCTAGTACATCTCTCTCGCGTGGTATGTTGACGCTGCCTCGGAACGGCCGACCCTGCGAGCTGTGCAACAAGACCTGCTTCCTCCCAAGACAGCCGGCCCGCTGGCCCATCCCCTTGATCTTGCGTCGCGCTTGCTCTCGACTAACTGGTGCCCCTTTGCCCTCGACATAAAGCACCGAATGTAAACGACGAAAGATCCGCTGCAACGGCGAACATCCCTGCGGGCGATGCGGCCACCTTAACCTCACCTGCCTCTACACGGCCAACTGCTGCTCCAGCAGCTTCAAGGACTCGGACGACTACAAGCGCATGACGGACGAGATCGCCACCCTCCAGAGCCAGGTCAACACCCTGTTCGAAAACATATATACCCTCCGGCAAGAGACCCTTCAGAATGTCCCCGATTATAACCCGACCGGCCGCCCTGCGCCCCCGGCAGGGACAGAAGGGGAGCCGCCTCCGATGGCGCGGGTGAACAGCATCGCCGAATCCTCCACCACGCTCTTGGCGGGGCAGCCCATAAGCCTAAGGGAGCGCCCATCGTTCAGCCAGGCAGCGAGGTTCCGGGGACCGACAAGCATAGATTTCACTGTCGACATGGCCAAGAACACATTGCACAAGATGGGCTACAGCGGTGAAAGAACAGAGGGCGCCGAAGAGGCCGGCCAGGGCTCCGACGGCGGGCTCGCGCCGCCAGCCCCCGCGGCGGCGCCAAACCCGGCGCTGAGGTCAACACCGGCCGGATCCGATAGCAGCTCGGATCCCCTATGGCAATACGACAAGGGCGAGATGCTCAAGCTCTGCAAGATCTACAAGGACGAAGTCGCCATAATGTACCCCGTCTTCGACGTCGACGCCATCATGGACCACGCGCGGGCCCTGGCGGACTGGATGGAGTCGGCGAGGCTCCGCCGGCTCTCGCCGCCCGCCGACGACGGGGGGCGCTTCTCGGACATGAGGACGCTGCAGCTCAAGATCGTCATGTGCTGCGGGCTGACCATCGAGAACCACGGGCGCAGCCCGCGGGCCACGGAGCTGTTCGAGACGATGCGGCCCGTCATCAGCCGCCTGCTCATCAGCGAGGGGGCCGACGTGGCGAGCCTGCCGTTCCTCAACACGGTGGCGGGCTTCCAGTTCCTCTGCAACGACGAGATCCTGGCCTGGCGCATCATCGGCCAGGTCGCCCGCCTCTGCCTCGAACTCGGCCTGCACCGGCGCCAGGGGCTGCACAGGGTCCCCGAGGGCCCGGAGCGCCGGAGCGCCGTCAACACCTTCTGGGTCACGTACACGCTGGACCGGCGCTGGGCGTTTGCCACGGGCCTTCCTTATGTAATGTGCGACGAAACCATCGACCCCAAGCTGCCGTATCCGGTGAGTGTTTGTTTAGTTGGTCCGGGCTTTTCCTGCTTGCACTTCGGCCTCTAACCATGATGCCTTTTTTCGTACTGCAGGATGGACACCCCTATATGGTGGCTATGATCACATATTCCAAACTCGCTGCCCGAATCTGGAAGTTGGTTGACTACTTTGATGCCGCTGTTACCCTAGACCTCAAACGGGAGCAATTCGAGACGCTTGACCAGGAGATCCTCGCGTGGTACGAGAGCGTGCCGGACGATATCAAAACCAACGGCCTGCGAGAGATGCCTCTGCCCTCTGCCGGCCCAACCTACAACCTGCAAAGACAACAGGTCTGGACACGGCTACGCATGTATCAGGTATGGAGCGGACCTCGTCCCGGTCCCTGCCACACAATGCAACACGATGACTAACTCTTTGGCTTCCTCGTGCAGATACGCATGTGGTTGCATATGCCCGTGCTGCATTGCGCCAGCAGCATCCAGCAGAACAAGGATCTGGCCTTCAAGGTGGTCAGGCTCGCGCAGGACACGATCCAGTACCTCCGAAAGCTGCACGACAACACGGGGGTGTACCGGCGCCTGCAGGTGTTTTACCACCAGTTCCTCTCGTCCTCCATCGCGGTGCTCTTCCTCGCGGCCGCCCACGCGCCGGTCGAGTTCAGCAACCTGGCGCGCCCAGAGTTCTACACGGCCCTGGGGCTCATCAAGGAGCTGTCGGCCAGGAGCTGGGTGTCGCAGCGGCTCTGGCGCGCCGTCCACTCGCTCAAGAACTACGCCACCCGCCTCGGACTGCAGGACGAGGACGGCGACCACGGCCACAGTAACAATAGCAACGGCGCCGGCGGTCCCAGCGGCGTGAGTCACTACCACGACCCGCTCTCCATCAGCAGCCTGGCGGCGCCCACGACCCTGCCGTCGTCCATCTCGTCCCTGCACACGCCGACGCACGACAACAGCCCCGCCGACGCGGGGACCTACCCGCCTCCCCCTTACTCGTCGGCGGGCACGCCGGCCGGGCGCGGGTCGATGGGCCCGGCGCTCCGGCAGGACTTTGACCAAGACATGGTCCCGGGGATGCTGCTGGACGACGAGCAGAACGGCAGCGCCCTGCACAGCGAGATGTCGCGCATATTTGAAGGCTATTCGGGCCTGGTCCAGATGGGAGGCAGTAGCGGCCCGGGGTCCACATCGGACGGGCCCTTCAGCCTGGTTGGGGACGTTTCGAGTTGTCTGGATGACGATATCGGGGTGTTTCAGCAGATTAGGGATATGTTTTGACGAATATTACGCGGCATTGTGGTCGACAGTAGCAAAATGGTGCATCGATATAAGCGTCATGAGAGTTTCCGCAAGACCCATTTGCAGGGCGACGGAGAGTCGGCCAGAGACCGAGAGAGCCATGATCTATACCCCCTTGGGAACGCGTCTATGTTTAGCTGAATATGTAAATTGCTCGGGGAATCTTATCGGGCGCTTTGGGCGCCACCTGTTTTTGGATACGTCCCCCCGTCAAACTTTGGCCTTGGCTGCACAATGCCAGCGTAGCATCTGATATGTACCATATTCCCTTGCAGCCCAAGCATGTTTTGATCGAAACGCGATCACGGCATGCGGGTTGGTCTCGAGGCTTGCTGGTTGGGTAAGACGGGCAGATGGAACTCCAGGTTCAACGTGTTAAAGTGCTGACGTTGTGGCAGTTGCGTCCATCGCATGCAGTACCCCGCCCATCGTGGCGACTTGGATTCCGTCATGGAATCTGAGGATCCAAGACGGCTCATGGTTCCAACACAACCAACCTAGCCTCGATGCGACTTTAGCATACACTCGGTTGCTCCATGATGACCAAACCAAAGCATAGAATAAGAGCCTTCATCACATAGCACGCCATGGAAACGGATCAAAACACTGGCACCACCGGGACGCTCACGGCCCGCTGCTTCTGCAAGGCAGAGCGCACTTCACCGTCACGGTGGCGCCCTCGAACCTGCCGCTGCCGGTCCACCTCTGCAGCTGCTCCGTCTGCCGGTACACGCACACGGCACGATGAGCACCTTCCACGCGCCCCCTCCCCCCGCGGCGTGTCTCTACGTTTCATAGCGCTGTCGACGCTCGAGGGCGCGCCCTCACAGGCTACACCACGTTCGAGTCCGAGGCGGGCGGGACCTGCGCCGCGGGAGCAGGAGCTCGACAAGGCCGGCAACGAGCGGCTGCGGGGGCAGTGCCACTGCGGCGGTTATCAGCTTCACGCTCCCGCAGTCCGGCGAGCCGGCGACGGTCAACGACGACATATTACGGCACGTCGCCAGCGCGCCCGACGCGTCCAAGTGGATGGGCCTCGCCGCCCGATTTCAGGTTCGGGGACGCTGACGGCGTACGAGTCCTCGCCGGGCGGCGAGGTCCGGCGGGCACTTTTTGCGGCGTCTGCGGGCGCGTCTCGTATCTGGATAGCGGTGGGCGGTTCGATGCGTCGTTTGCGTACTCGCTGAAGAGCGGGTTCGAGGCGTGGAGGCGGAGGCTGTACGACCTAGTGCTCGACTGGCCCCTGGGACCTCCCGAGCCCGCTGTGAAGCAGCAGCGAGAAAGGAAAGCCTTTGGATGCCGGCGTGTCCACGTCAACCGCCTTCTCCCTCACTCATACATATGCAGGCACAGCAAACAGAGCGAGAACGGAGCTCTTGGCGAAGGAGGGATGGAGGGGAAAGACCGAGACTCCCAAAGGCTGGCCCATCAGATGTTTGCTTTTTCAGTTATGGCCTGCGTGCATGCATGCATCGTGCAGCTTCCCCAGCCAGCGAGTGGGCTTGGCCCCTCATCTGGGCCCCCGTTCGAGGGGAGGGGAGCGTGGGAGCCCTGGCCCAGTCGCGGGAGCAGCACAGTGTTCCCGATGCATGACGTGACGGTGATATTTCCAGTGACGGGAGGGTCTGCAGTGGCACGGTTGCGAGCGCCTGGGAAATGGATCTGGGGCCAAAAAGGCCGTGTGCGCTGCAACACTGGGCTGGGAGAGGGGCCTGGCGCCTGGCGCCCGTCCAAATAGGGAGGTCGCATGGGGCCGCGCGTTCCGCGTAGTGCGCGCCGGCAGGCCGTCTGGGTAGACATTTAGTGGACATTGCATTAGCTGGGGGGCCAGCATGGAGCCCAGCAGCCCAGCAGCCCAGTAGCCCAGCAGCCCGGCATGGATCCCTGCGCTGCAGTCACATCCCATCCGTCACGCTCAATCACATCACATCACACCCGCCCGAGCTTGCATAGACGCGTGAGCCAGTGACAGCCGCTGGCGGCTAGCGGGTGTGTGCGAGTTTCGCCGCGGCTTTTTTTTTTTCTTTCTGTGTTTCCGTCTGATGTACCTAATACCGAAGACATTTCCCAAGAGACACTAACCCAGCCTGTCAAAAGTGGCTTGCTGTTAACTAGGTCCTGCCTCCTCCCCAGGTACCGCACACGGCTCGATACGACGGCTGCATATGTGAGCTCGGTACACATTCTGTGGGCAAGCTATGTAGTTCGGCACAGAGGTACCGTACTGCACCGTTCTGTTCTGTACTGTACCTACTCCCTCCCTCCCTCCCTATCTCCCGCCGAAACACACGCCCGCCCGGACAGGCATTGGTAGCCTGGGCGGCACCACCAGATTATCTATGACCCCTCCCTCCTCTCCCACCTGCTACTAATAGTCTGGTTGGCTTTGCCATTATCCCTCCACCCCTCACCCGCTCTTGCACTCGCACCTCGAGCTCAAGCTCGAGCTGTCCTGTCGCCATCCACGCCCTAACCGCCCGCCATGTCGTCCTCTGTCTATGGCCCGCAGGGCGTTGCCCACCCGTTCCCGCCAACCACCATGACGGCGGCAACGGGCCTGGCCAACGGATCCGCCACCACCACCACCACCGACGGCGGCCTCCTCCAGGGCCTGGCCGGGCCCCGCATCTGCGCGCTGGTCCGGCCCGAGCGGGAGGCCATGAGCGACGTCCGCCTGATCGACATCCCCGCCTCGGTCCCCCGCAGCAGCTGGCCGCCCAGGCCGCGGACCGACGCCCACGTGGCGCGCCAGCCGCTGGGCGACCTGACCCGGTTCCCGGACGAGCTGCTCCTGGCGACGGTGGGCTTCCTCGACTTCCAGTCGCTCGACCGCCTGCGCCAGATCTCGCGCCGCGCCCGCGACATCATCGAGAGCCTCGAGGTCTGGCGCGAGCTGCTCCGCCACGCGCCCGCCCAGCTGCACGCCCTGCACCGCACGGGCCTGCTGGGCCTCCACCGCGCCTCGGGCCTGTTGGCCGCCCTGCGGTCCTCGGCCTGCGGCTCGTGCCGCGCCCACTTTGGGGGGTTCCTGTTTCTCTTGACGTGCGAGCGCGCCTGCCTCAGCTGCTTGCGCGAGAACGCGGCCCTGCGCCTGACCACGCCCGACCGCGCCGCCCGCTGCTTCTCCCTGTCGCCGGACCAGGTCGCGCGCCTGCTCCCGCACATGACCACCATCCCGCAGCGGAGGTACTCCGGCGCCCTGCGCGGCTGGTACAACGTCCCGACCCGGCTCGTCAGCATCCGCCACGCAAAGGAGCTCTCGCTCGCGCTGCACGGCGGCGAGCTCCCGCCGCCCGTCGAGCCCGCCCGCACCGCCGACGGCAGGCTGCCCACGAGCTTCAACCCGCTCGACCCGCTCGTCTTCGCCTCCTTCCGCGACGCCCCGCTCGAGGCCCCCGCCCGGGACCTGTCGCTCGAGGAGCCGCTCCACGCGGTGCCCGACGACTTTATGGGCGCCGCCATCGTGCGGATGCCGTCCCTCCGCGGGGGCGGCGGCGGCGGCGACGAGAGCGGCTGCTGCTCCCCGCTAGACCATGGCGTCTACTGCGACGGGTGCCAGAAGGTGCGCATGCTGTTCGAGCAGGGCATGCTTCCCGGCCACGCGGCGCTGGAGCTGTTCCCGCCGGGGATCAAGAGCCGGCGCCGCGTCGTCGAGGCCGGGGCGCAGCGCCTTTGGTCGACTGAGGGGTTCGTCGACCACGTCGCCAAGTGCTACGGGGCGCAGATTCTGCTGCAAAGCATGCCTGCTTGAGGAGGGGGATAGCAAGAAGAGGGCACTGCGTGTTTTTTTTTGTAGTATTAAAAAAGAGGCTCCATCTATGCTTTCGCTTCTACAATAAACAATAGCAAGTTAAACCTGTCGGTACTGGGCCAGCTCGTCGGTGCTATCCTCGAATGGGACGGCGCCCAGGTGCCTCCAGGCGCCGTCGACCCCGAGCGCCACGTCCTTTTCCTTGGAATGCCAGAAGAACTCGGTCTTGCCATCGCCAAATTGCATGATTGATTTTTCCTAGAGACAAGCGAGCTTGCGTCAGCATGAACTCGACTTACTTCACCTCTAGCTCTCGCCACTCACTCACCAGACCCATGGTCAGCTTGATGACGCCGTCGGCCCAGTGCGCCCTGTACTCGGCGCAGGGCCGGCCGCCGCCCGTGGCCATGGCGAGGATGTTGTCGGCCACCACCTCGGCCTGCCTGACGGCGGCGCGCCCGTTGGGGTTGGCGGTGCCCGTGTCGGCCACGTCGCCGCACGCAAACACGTTGGGCAGGGACTCGTCGGCCACCTGCAGCGTCGGCAGCACGCGCACGTGGCCCGACTCGGAGATGCAGCCCGGCGAGAGTCCCGCGAGCACGTCCGAGGTCGGGCGTTGGCCGACGCAGCTGATCTGTGAGACGGGGTAGGTAGAGGTTGTTATCAGCGGAGGTGAAGCAAGCGGGGTATTAGAAAAAAGAAGAAGAAAAAGGGACCCCTCACAAAGACATCACACTCGATCGTCCTCCCCGACCGCAACAGCGTTACTAGCCTGCCGTCCTCGCCCACGGACGCGCGCTCTCCCAGCACCACCTCGATGCCCAGGCCGCGCAGGCCCTCGAGCGCGGCGGCCTGCAGCTCCGGGCCAAAGCGGTGCATGACGGCGGGCCTCGAGTGTACCAGCACCACGTCCTTGTCCGGGTACCTCGCCTTCGCGTCGGCCGCCAGCTCCACGCCCGCCGCGCCGCCGCCCACCACCACCACGCGGGCCGCGCCCGCCACCCGCCGCTGCATCTCCCGGATCCGACCCAGCCCGCCCTCCCGGTCCGCCGCCCCGACCCGCGACGGCAGCGTGGCGCCCGCCCCGGAGCCGGTCGCCACGACGAGGTAGTCGTACGGTATCACCTCCCCATCTCCCCCGTCGTCGTCACCCTGCAGGGTCACCGAGCCGCGCGACGCCGACGCCACGCGGCCCGTGACCCAGCGCAGGCGGCCCGGAGCGACACCGGCCAGGTGCGGGCCGTAGGGGATAAAGGCCTTGTGCTCGTGGCCCTCGGCCACGCACACGCGCGGCAGCGCCCACGTCCAGTGGAAGTGGCTGCTCGGCTCCACCACCACGACGCGGTGCGCGCCGCCCTCGGGCAGGCCCGCCGCCAGCTCCCGCGCCACGTGGTAGCCCGCGAAGGAGGCGCCGACCACGACGATGTTTCTGGGATGCTGCTGCTGCGGTGGTGGCTGCGTCGCTGCCGCCTCGGTGTCTTGTAGTTGTGGCTTGTTGCCTGACGGTGCTGCTGCTTGCTTCCTCCGCTCGAGGGCCTGCTGGCGCTTCTGCCGCTTCTTGAGCGCGCGCGTGCGTCTGAAAAAGGCAAAGGCCGCCCCGAGTGTGTAGAGGAAAAACCGCCAGATCAGGCCGGCCTTGGCCAGCGGCTTGACTGCCATGGTGTGTGTGTGTTTTTTTTGGGGGGGGGGTTTTTTTTTCAAGTCGGACGACCCGCTCTTGAGAAGAGGTGTATACGTGCGTGTCGGCGGGTGGAGGAGACGAGTGAAGAGAAGCGCTGGGCAGCATAAATGGCTGGGTTTTTATCAGATGATCAGATTAGATCAACGGCAGGGAAGCACATCCCTACGTGGCTAGCCCGTCGGCGTATTTGCCTCATCGTGTGGGTTTCGCTCGACCGAGGGGTGTGGGCTGGCCGAAATAGCCGACCATGCAATGCGACTTGATGGCTGCGCTTTTTCCACGCCCGCCTCTGCTCGTGTCCTCCCCAAGTCGCCCGATCCGACCCTGCGTAGTAGGCCCTCTCTCGCAACAGCTCCGGCCTCGGTCCATGACTAGACCCCTGTGTTTGGGCAATTACGAGGCCCGCCACTTTTTTTTATTGGGTGCGTCTCGCATTGCTTCCCAAGTCCGAAAATACCGAGCACTTAACACCGCGGTCACTCGGTGTGCTGTGTCTTTTGCAAAAGAACAAGAATACTTGAAAAAAATAAAGACACCAAATCCGTGGCATGGGGTATTCCGCCGTCCGAGGCCTAGATATCGAGAAACTTAATGAGAGATAAAGGCAGAGAAAAAACGCACCCTACTTGATCAGCTTTTTCCACCAACGCCTCCTCCCCCCAGCATCCGCCTTGAGCCCTTCACTGCTGGCAGCCGAGCTCGTCTCTACGGGCACCTTTGCACTCCTTCCCCCTCCTCCTCCAGCGCCAACCTCAGCCTTGACCCTCCTCGCGGCCTCGGAACCGAACTTGGGGTACCCGGCGTCGCGCCACTGGTCAAACGTCAGCCCGCCCGCGGCCGACGGCATGAAGACCATGAGGGGCACGTCGACGGTGACGAGCGGCAGGCCCAGCACCTTGCCCTTGTGCGAGATCTTGTCGCGGATGCGGGAGAAGCCCATGCGCTCGTACAGCTTGACCGTCGACGGCGACGACTCAAAGTAGACGGGTACGCCGCACGCCTCGCCCGTGGCCAGCGCCCACTCGATGAAGGCCTTGCCGGCGCCGCGGCCCCTGGTGTTTTGGGTCGACGGCGATGACGTGGACGTCTTTTTTTTTGGTTGTGTGTGTGTTGTTAGTTTCCCAAAA